GTGATTGCCTTTGGGGTCTTCTTCATAAATTCTTTGCCTAGGCCAATGTCTAGAAGAGCATTTCCAACATTTTCCTCTAGAATTCTAATAGTTTAACTCCTTAGGTTTAAATCTGTAACCCAGTGTGAGTTGATTTTTGTGAGAGGTGGAAGGTGTGGATCCTGATTCAGTCTTCTACATGTGGCTATCCAGTTTTCCCAGCACCATTTATTGAATAAGGATTCTTTTTCCCAGTGTATGTTTTTATCTGCTTCATATGGAACCAGAGAAGACCCCGCATAGCAAAAACAATTCTAGGCAATAAAAACGAAATGGGAGGTATCAATTTACCAGACTTCAAACTTTATTACAAGGCTGTAATAATCAAATCAGCTTGGTACTGGCACAAAAACAGAGTCATTGACCAGTGGAACAGAACTGAGAACCCAGATATAAAACCATCCTCATATAGCCAACTAATCTGTGACAAAGAAGAAACCATTTAGAAATAAGGAAGAAATATTTTCATCAAGACTCTAGAATGAGATATTTGGCACAATTATGCACCAACTATATCCATTCTCATAGGAACTTAAGCAAAATAAAACACAATGAGTCATGGAATTTCTGTTCTTTCTTGTCTTCTCCAGGCCTTGAGTGTTGTATGCTGAGCAATTTTCTGGATGCTGGAATAACAACATAACAACTGGCATGTTTGCAATTGTTCTAGCACTTTACACATAAGCTCATTTACCAGTCCCAACAACCCACTGTGGAAAATTCCATTATAATCCCGCTTTACAGATGAGGAAACTGAGGCACAGGGCGGCTTAAAGCTGGTAAATAGGAGAACAATGATTTGATCGCAGCCAGTCCAGCACTGAATCCATGTTTTAACCACACTGCCTTCTGCAAAATCAGATGGGAAAGAAATGTCTTTACCCTCACATTGCTTTTGATACAGTCAAATTTATTCATTTTTTTCTTTTATGGCTTCTGAGGTATGTGTCATATTTTTTTTTTTTTGAGACAGAGTCTCACTCTTTTGCCCGGGCTAGAGTGCCGTGGCATCAGCCTAGCTCACAGCAACCTCAAACTCCTGGACCCAAGCAATCCTTCTGCCTCAGCCTCCCGAGTAGCTGGGACTACAGGCATGTGCCACCATGCCCGGCTAATTTTTTTTTCTATATAGTTTTGGTTATCCAATTAATTTCTTTCTATTTTTAGTAGTGGGTCTTGCTCTTGCTCAGGCTGGTCTCGAACTCCTGAGCTCAAACAATCCGCCCGCCTTGGCCTCCCAGAGTGCTAGGATTACAGATGTGAGGCACCATGCCCGGCCTATGGGTCATATTTTGAAAGGCCTTTGCAGTCACATATTTACATAAAAATCATCCCATAATTTTAAATTTCATGCTTTGTAGTTTTAAATATTTGATCCATTAGGAATTTATACAGAATAAGATACAGAGTTTAAATGTTTTTTACTCAGATATGACCATAGCTCAACGCCATTTATTAAACTATACATCTTTCCCCTACTCATTTAAAGCGTCACCTTTTCATATACTAAATTCCTTTATTTTCAATTCACTAATGATTGTTAATGTACTAGTACCACCATCATCAATGTGTGGTATTAGCTTGCTGTTAATGGTCATTGGGTCTAAGTCTGCCTCACAAGAATATGGCAACATGCTAGTGAACTCAAACATCTCTGTGGCAAAATAGTATATGTACCCTGGGTTCCTTGCCAGGAAATATAAATTACATCAGACCGAACTCTGAAACCGGCATTGGGAACAATGCACTAGCTGAATCTGTGATGGTGCATCAGTCTTGCAAGATTTGTTGAGCTCTCTGTAAAGTTCTAACATATTAGGTAAGTACAGCTGAAGCAATCAGAGGAATCACTTTGTTTAATCACCGAGAGTCCACTGTTAACCTCCAGGAACTGTCTTCCTTGTATACTGGTCAGACAGGACTGTTAAAAGGGAGTTGATGGGAATTAAAACTTCTGCTTCAGCTGTTTCCTTCATCAGAACAGTCATCTCTTTCTGTCCTTCTGGAATTCTATATTGGTTAGTATTTACTACCAAGAGGAGCTCGAGGAATTCCAAAGGCATATTTAGCATGGCCAAATGCAACTGAGTGAAGGGCAGACTTAGTCGATGTTTCGTTCACTAAAAATCCATCCCCACTATGCACTTAGGTAGCTCCTGTGATCACAGAATAATCCCTCCAGTGACACTTTCCCATTTATAACTTTATCTCTGCCTAGTTTTCTCTACCACAAGGTGTCCAGGATCACTTTGGGACCTTTTAGAGGACCATAACTCTCTCCGAAGGCAGTCACTGTACCCGACTGCCTGTATATACTAATCCTAAGAAGTTTCCCATGCCACCCTCTGGCCACTTCACCCAAATCATTGCATGGTCCTTCAGACCTGGAATACCTATCCCTTGTTATGAGCCCTGGGCACTGAGATTTCCCTGGCTGTTTTCCCTAAACTCTATCTACACCCTTGCAAATAGCCCTTTTATTAAATATTACATAGACGCAGTGTACCATCTCATTCCTGCTGTGGCCCAGTTCTTGTAAAAACAGGAAATTATAAGCCTCGTCTACTTTAATACTGAAAAAAAAACACATAAAACCTATATTCTTTGATTTACTGTAGCTAATAAAACATAATGTTAAAACCAGAGCCTGTATCCTGTAATTAGCAGTTGTCAAAGAAGAACATATGAGAGGATAAAAGATTTGTTAATTCTGGGGTATGAAATGACAAGTCTGTCCTCTGTAGAACAATTGAGAGAAAGTGGAAAAGGATGAAGCTGAAAGTTCCTGCAAGACATTTCTATGATACACTAAGAATATGGCACCCAGCCTACGCCGGGGTGAACATACTTTATGTTAACTTCTATTCATGTTGTCTCTTGACAACTTAAAGCTTCTTTTTTTTAATTTTAGAAATTATAGTCAACTTTTAGTTATACTTGTTATTTGGAAATATAACACCGCTAATAAATAGAACTGATGTATAGAAATTTTGGATTAAAAAAAGCAATGCGCACTACCCGAAGGATGGACATATTTGAAACATGGACTTGGGGGGGGGGGAACCAAGGACAACACACGTAACCTAAACATCTGTACCCCATAATATGCTGAAATAAAAAAAATAATAATAATAATAAAATTTTTTCTTTCAGAAAAAATGAATCAGCAGAGACTTGAAACACATTGAAAATAGTTTATAAGAAAGGTTCTTGGTAGCAGTTATAGACGATATCCTGATTTAACTGTTTACATATCCTACAAGTGTCAATGTGTGCAATTTGTGCCCCCTATCTTTTTAAAGCCAACAATTTAAAATTTTAAAGGATAAATAAATCAGAAAGGGTAAGCTGTGCCTAAAAAGAAGAAGCCATTTATTTATTTATTTTAGTTTCTTTTCTTTTTTTTTTATTTTAGCATATTATGGGGGTACAGATGTTTAGGTTACATATGTTGCCCTTGCCCCCCCTCCCCCAAAACCGAGCTTCAAGCGTGTCCATCCCCCAGGTGGTGGTCATCGCACTCATTGTTTGTGCATATGCCCATCCCCTCCTCCCCTCACCCCCTCCCCCTGCCCAACATCCAGTAAATGTTATTCTTATATGTGTGCTTAAGTGTTGATCAGTTAAAACCAATTTGATGGTGAGTACATGTGGTGCTTGTTTTTCCATTCTTGGGATAC